TCTCGAACATATGGCAGAGTTTTGAAAGTAGCCTGTATTTAAGCCTTATAAATATATCCTGAGTAAAGGCCAGGCCTTATAAGGTGTGGTGTGGTGTTGTAACAGAACCGTGCCTTATATGAGTCATCGTCTCACTGAATTAGTACAAAATAAATTCTTTTGGTGTAATTGAACATCTGTTCATAGTTACTGAGGTTAATTTAATAGAGGTCGTATAAGCAAATATCGTGTGAGTAATTCAACAATTTATGTCATCGTTTAATTAAAACTTTGATGTTATTTTGTAGAATCACTATTTTATTATGTTTTTCAATAATTGCTTCGATAAATAAAAAGAGTTCCAGATTCTTCGGTTGACCTACGTTGGTTTATATTGCTTTGAGATAAGACGTGTGGCATCACGTTTCAATATATTTATCATTAAAAGAAATATTGTAATAATTTCGGTTAAAATTGGAACCGTCGCCATATCGTGGAATTTTATAAAAATAATATAATCTAATGACAATATTAACGTTAACAACAAGGATCAAGCCTAGCTCAATAGTGATTGCAGGGTACGCACGCAGGGTAATGCAACTTATCGGAATTACATTTGTGGTTAAAGTTATACGTTTGGTAGCGAAGGATTCTCTGAAAAATGGTATAAGAGAACCGGTTGTGATTCGACTGATTCTCCTTGACCCAGATCGAAGACCGGTGTAGCTCTCAGCAGGAAGAAAGGTGTCCTGGGGTTATTACATTGGTAACTTTATTACTCGCGACATAAATAGTACAGAAGCGTAGTACTTATACAATTAAAAATAACGGTTTCAACTTAAAAACGGTTATTAGTAAAATTGTTAAGGATTTTTACGCAGAGGGCAATAAGGTTGGTTGCTAGAGCGTAAGCAATATTCGGGCAATGACCTCAGAATACAATATGAAATAATATAATAATACGATTTCTGAGACGGTAAACTTATAAGAGTGTTAGAGGAAATTTTAGGTGATTTTACAACACGGACTACTGATGTCGTTTCTACATACTCAACTATCTTTTTTAAATGTATATTTGGGTAAATGTATATATATATATTAAATTGGTGGTTTTCGTCGAATAAATGAATTGTTAAAATACTGTTTTTCTTTTCGATAGTATAATGTACGATAATGTTCATGTATTCGTTTTACATAACATATTATAGAGAACTTATTCTTATAACTTATTCCCTTAACGCTATAACTTGGGACTTTTCAAGACGAGAGTGAATAGGCATTATTTAGTTGCGCATGCTCCATCGCGGAGCTCATCGTCACTTTCTATCAGGTGAGATGGAGGTCAAATGGAGTGTCATACTTAATTTCGACAAACACTATTTCGGCTCGACAGTACTCCGACTACACATTAATTCGACGGAACACTACTTCGACAAAACACATGTTGGACAGGTCACTAGTCCGACAGAAAACTACTTCGACAACACATGAGGTCACTATTCCGACAGAACATAAAATCGACAAATAACTGCTTACCTTTAAGTTATTAATTATTTCACAGACATATTTACATAAATGAGATATTCCGCTCAAGAATGAAGTGGTCCCTAAGTAGTCTCTCAGTACAGCAAATATTTATAATATATATTTCAAGTTCTGTCGGAATAGTGAAAAAGAAAATTCTAACAAACGTTATTTCGGACAAAAATATTTTCGACTTTGTGATAGGTTACCAATTACACGATAAGCGCCAGCTTAGGTTTATAAGACGTATTTAATAATTATGATATTTAGTTACACATTACCTTCGTTTAGCGACATATTGCATTTATTTCTGTAGTGTTTACTTTGACGAGAAAAAAATGCATGATTCACACAGCCTTCCACTCAAGGTGCGCTGTTTTATTTACTGATTATCTGCAAAATTGCGAAACCTTGCTATTTGTGTACAACTACGTTACATTTTCGAAGACACCTTTAAGGATAATCGTTTGAAACAGCTGCTAATGGGTTCCTTTCAAGAAATGTCTGTGACTATGTGCCAAAGTCATAATATCTCTCGATACTCGATACTGTGTTCCGGTTTTGAGGGATAAGGGTGCTGGTGAAATTACAGGCACATGAGACTTGTCAACTTATGTGTCAGGGTGACGGGCGCAGTGGCAGTGCCCCTCAGATCTTTGCAATAGAAAGCTCTTAGTGGCACTGTAACTGTTATGAACAGGCGTGTAGCTTACCATCAGGCGCACGACTTGTTTGTCCCGTCACTTAATGTTATTTAAAATACAAGCAACTTGGTCTTTATAAACACAAACGACGAACGATTGGCGACAACTGTTACTAAAATATAAACATTGTAGAGTTTACAATCAGGTCACAATTCTGAATACTGACCAACCACGTAGTGATTATGTCAAAGTTGTGTAAATATTTTCAATTAAGTGTTAACTAAACCTAATGAATAATGAAAGTAATAGTATAAGCACAACATTTATACCGGGTTACATGGATTTATGTTACTTTAAGAATGTTTATATTACCAATACATGAAAATGAATAAATCAATGAAAATATTTATTATTATATGTTCAAGTATTCTTAGACATTATTTCTTTGGAATTACAATTTAGGCTCTGTTACATACTGTAAAAATTGCTTTCATGTTAATAATAATTCTTACTGTTATAGAACCAAGTGCCTTAAAAAATATAAAACTTCTTTAAATAATTTTATTTGTAATTAAAAATTATAACAAACATTGAATGACCGTAAAGTCTACTTTGTTTTGCTGATATGGCGCATTGTATCACGACCCAAATAATATTATTATTAAAGATATTGTTGTAATAATTGTATATATATATATATATATATATATATATACAAGAAGTTGACTATAATAGAAAATATTTAAGCAATTATATATTTCGTAGTCAAGCAAGTTATATTGGTACTATAACGTCGCTGGAAAGGCGAAATTACTAACCTCCAACTGGCCAAAATGGCGCTTTAGAAGGCACTTTTTCCTTTCCAGCGACAATATATTTCTCGAATAACAATTTAAAACAAGCGTTACTATATTTTCCCTGGACTGGCAGGACTAAGTCAGAAATGGAATGCCATTAATTATTATTTGAGAGTTAGCATTGGCCTGGGTAGAGTAATTTAGCTTAATTGTTATTATTTACAATTTTAATGACGCTCGTTAGGACTAATAGAGTTAATTATAAGCATTTACTAAGCTATATTAGTATTGACTAATAATAAACTCGATACGTACATATAGATAGACACGTAGCGAAATTAAAATTAGTATGTAAAGTTATAATTAAGTTGTCATTTACTAAAATTCATGAAACATCTGGCTAACAATCTATACAGTCATTTTGGTAAAAAAAAAAATAGTGTTGTGGCAATTTACATCATTTAAGATAAAAAAAACCCATATACCTTAAATTAAAAAACGGCATTTTTTTACGTTACTTTCAAGGGCAGTACTTATAATTACTAATTATCGCATCCAAAAGATGTCAGTACTTTTCTTACCATAGTGCATAATTATTCAAAATAAAATGTTCTTAATGTATCTAAATTGTAAATCATTGAATTTTGACAGTACGTTGTTGATACTTCTCTATGGAAAAGCAGTAGGCGGCAACTACACGAAATACACTGGAAATATCTATCACAGAGCCCGTAGTTGGTTTTTTAAGATCCATTAGGTGGAACAGGGTACTCCGTACTAATCATATTCTAATAGGTATTTAATTTTACAGTAAACGCTTTTACGTACTCGGACGAGTCAAATCATATGAATTACTTTATTAACCTCCTCACAAGTATTGGTTCTAATTTCTGTTGCACGCGAATTTTTTTATGTCGTACGCGATGAAATATCAGTTATTATTTTTACTTAATGTAAATCAGTAACTTTCAGGTACATAAGTTTTTTTGTACTCAATTTTGGAGACTATTTTTATTGTTTGTTTACTGGAATATATCGTCGTGAAATTTAAACACTCGAATATTAAATAATGCTTCATGGTGATATTCTATAAATATTTAAATAAAAAGAAATTGAGTACAAAAAACTTACCTGGAAATTACACAAATATGCGTTCGATCTATAGAACTACATGATTATTTGTAGGCATTTGACAACTTGATGCAGAGTAACCATAAAGCGTAAAAAAATGGAAAAATATTTTTAATATGCATTGTTTTTATTGAAAAATTAAACAAAAATTATTTTCTTATTTGTTATTTTTACTATAGCGTTAATATTTTCTATTTATACTAAAGCAATCCTGAGTAATGTAGACATACTACAATCAAATATTTATACAGCTATAGCAGTTTATACATATAGGTAGGTATGTCTGTTAAGTAGGTAATCCAGAAAAGACGGAATGTTTTAAGAGGACACGGTTGATGTCTCGACTTGAGGTACGATTTAGGTGGGTGTTCTTGTTAGTTTTTTGTTAGAGAACCAGTTTCTGACCATTTAGGATTCCCCTTGCACGGTGCGCCGCTGTAGGTCTAGTATAGGTATACGTTATTTTTGAGATTGGGGAATGAATTCTCATTAAATAGACTTTTGATGATACTGACTTAATGTTTAATCTGAGTGGCTACGGATTTTTATTATTAGAGATGTACCTGTTAGTATAATGTAATTACTGGTATCTATACCAGGAAACTGGCACTAGTTTTAGTGGTATTTAATACGACAAATAGTAACGTTCCTTGAGTGCACATAGATGTAATAAAAACATCTGTTTTCCCAGTAAATATGTCACAATCCGTACGATACAATGTGTTCCCTGAATGTAGGTCACGGCTGAGTCCTTGTAACCTAGTTCTGTAGCTCGCAGCATCCCGAATCAATAATTACAGCGCTACACGGCTCATTACGATAGCCTTCGTTTCCTATACATTAAGCACGACTCAGAATAAGTTACCGGAACTATTCTACACAGTCGGGTTATATCCCGGCAAGTTATTAAACCAAAATTTCTTACCTTTCTTTGGGCCTCGGCGGCAAATCCAGACTTGGTCGCTCTGTTGTTGGCCATGATTAGAACTATTTATGAACTAATATAAATATTTTAATAAATAAATCACAGACACGGGTTGTGAAGTCACCGCGTTCAGACTGTAAACAGCGCGAGTCGCTCGCGGGTGCTTTGCGTGTGTGTGTGGTGATGAATGACATCATTGCTCGCCCTCCACCCGCCACCCGTTCGCCGCCGCCGCCGCCGGCCGGCCGCACGGGCCTGCGCCTGGCGTGAGAGGGGAAGTAGTATGCGCCCAACTGTCGATAAAAGTAATTTGTGAAGCAGCCACGGTCACACACTATAATGTACAAACTGTCACTAACCGAAATCACGACTTTAAACCTTTCGTGAACGATGTAAGGTTCGATTTTAATTGAGAATTGTACCCGCTTCTAAAGAAGTAATTTGTCCTGTATGTGTGGCAAAATAAGTAATCGACGGAGGTATCTGTTATTATTATGACTAGTTATAAGCCTGAGAATAAAAATGTCGTGTTTCTACAAAAGATGGATTAATTAAAATTTTCACAGACTGTCAGTTTTAAAGTCATTTCTGTGTTACTATTGTGTCTGTAAATATTTACAGTTTTTGGGAATAATAATAACTTGAGGTTTGAAAAATCTCTGTGTCAAGTAAGTTAATGGTAATCGATAAACTGGACATAATTTGAAGTGGACTTCAACTGTGTTCTTTGGACAAAACTTTGTCTCGAGTGAGAAAAAATAAGTCCTTGCCTTTTACTTATAACACAAGCACAAGAGTGGTTCTTGAAAAGTGATATACCGACAAATCAAATTGTCGATATCAACGCAACTCTAAACGAAAGACGTTAAAACGAAAACCAAGTATGGAATACAAAGAGTGGGAAAGAGCACGCGAGGTTTATATATATGTCTCGCTCTAACGTCTCGATGTAATAGCAGCAATAGGGCGAGTTGGAAGAAGGACGGGATTGGATTGAGAACTTGGATCCATCTTCCGGAATGACAATTGAAATTTCTATGTATTCAGTAATTGGGATGACACTGCACTGTAGTATTTTGATCATAGCTGCTTTTACTTTAGACCCATCTATTATATTCCGAAACCTGTGGACTCTAGTTGTTATTTAATTACTTGGGAATATTTACTAAAAATGTACATGAAGTTTGAACAGTACTTCTGCTCCTCTCAACTTCATCGTGATAATATCGGATTTAGAATTGAAAATATACTCTTACAACAATTAATAGAAAATATTTTTCGAAAATGCCCTGTACCTTTTGTAGTACCTTTGTATATCAGTCAGTCAGGTTGTCGTTAGCCCATATTCGGATTTTAATTATTTCATTTATTCCAATATTTGTTTTACAAGTTATAGTAACTTGTAAAAGAAAAAGAAATATTGTAGTATTTTCCAAGCAAAATAAAAGTATATTTAAGTCATTTTAATAATTTAAACGACATTTTATTGATTTTTTTTTGTATTTCGTGACATTTTCGAATTGTCTGCAAAAGATTGCAATTTGCGTAGGTAGGTATTTAGTGTTTAATGCCTTCGTGTACTCACGTTAGAGTCGACATTAACATTACACAACGTTTATTGGAGACAATGTATCCTTATTATTGATCCTATCCGATAGTACGATACAATAGTGAGATTTTTTGCATTTTATTTGTTCCATTCCAGGCAAGCTTTTTAAAAATCCCGTGAATGCGGTTATTCATATTAAGAAAAAGAACATTTCGTGGTAAATTTAGCTATATTCAGCATTTAAGTTATTTCCCCTTTAAGTCCCTTTGATTTATTCCAATATAGCACATTGTAGTAACTGCAAATTATGCATAATGTCTAGAGGTGGGCGTGTAAACGAAAAATATTTTAATTTTTTTTTTCATGCACACAAGCACGCTTACTATTTTACCTGTCGTAAACGTTGCTCTGCTGAATACTCAACAATTTTATTCTTTACAACATGCTTATGTGGCGAGTCACACCATCTATGTTCCCCAAACCAAAGTTATACTTTTATTTATAAATAAACTTTTTACATGGAGACCTAGTGGCCTACTCTCGCTTTTCGCTCTCAACACAATGTAGATCTGGTAAAGCAGTGCATAAAATAATAAAATGTATAGGCTTAATCGTTTACTAAACGAATTTGAAGGCTCATTCAAAAAACGTTTTAAAAGCATTTTACAAGTAAACTTATTTAAAAAAATACGTTTCAACGTGAAATATTTATAAGCCTCTTTTTCCATTTCTATCAGAGTTAGTAGGGATGTGATATTTCCTTTAGCTTACTAAGAATTTCTAGTCCGGATGTTTTTAACAATATATTGTAAATACTCATTAGCACAATACTGTTGGCTAATTATCTATGTAGTTTTCGTTGTCTTTGATTGGCAATTTTCAAACAAGAGCAGGTTTTTAGAATATTTAGTAGGCATGATAAAGTTCTGCAGTAGAATCGATAATAAACTAATTTGAATCATATAATATAGCGGTAACTTTTGCCATTACAATTCTGTGATTTACCAAAAAGTAGTGTCACACCATCTTTAAAAAACATTCTGAACTAGCACAGTTATATCTCGTTGTCCCAAGTGTAATGAATAAGAAAACCACGGACTCTACCACCAGGTTCTATAAGTCTACAATAGGTGGCGCAAAATAAAAAACTGGTAATAAGGTTATCGAAAATTCAAGGAGCAGTTTGCAGGAGCCATGTTTCAGTTATGTATATGGGATGCAATGCAATTGCATGACAATGCAAATGCAATTAAGTAAGCCACACCACAGTTGACAACCTTTGAACGATATCGACAGTACATTACCTAATGAGTTTTTATTGTTAATAAAAAATAACTAGACTTTCATCTCACCTGATGGAAAGTGATCATGATGAAGTGATGAGTAAAACAAACTCAGTAACTTTTTAAAAATAAAACTAGTAATATCAAAAATTGTAACGTTAAACGCTCCCATACATTTAATATGACATTCGCAGATAAGCTTTAATTTCCTTACTTTGAACAACTGCTTTGAATACAAAATTTTGTACTTACTTAAAAATAAACATTACTTTGTTTTTGTTATTTGATGTTATTAAATGAAGGACTAAAAAGTAAAACGTTTTAATCATTACTTTCTATACTACTTTATAGTACTTTCTATACTCCTTTAAAGATTTTTGATATCTTTAAAATTTACGGAATTGTCTTATCACACTGAACAATTACAACCTGTTGTTGTCTATGGTGTCATGTACAAACTGGCAAACCATTCATCAACTATTCATATTCGTGTCATATTCATTGTCTGTGAGCTCAAATTAAGTCAAATTATTTCGTAAAAGTTGAATCACCACTGGTGAAGGCCATTGGTTTTGCTAAGACACAGTGGAAAAATGTAATAAAAAGATAAGTGTCGACTAAAAAAAAAATACAAATCAGTTTTTATTGGTAATGTCAAAATAATAAATAACTTTGGACTCGATGAAAGGGTCACGGAGGAAGCGCAGAAAGATGGAGCGCTGCTGCCGAAGGGAACATCATCGGTACCCTTTTCAGTACAACTTGGCGCATTCAATGCCTTCGCAGCCTAGTGAGCAATCTGGCCGTATCACGAGTTTCCTGTACAACGTTTTCGTACTTACAAGTTTGGTCGCTCTTGTGTACTTTACTTTGGAGTACCATTGTAGCACGTGCAATGCAAAAAGTAACCTTATGGCACTTACAGAAAATATTGATCATATTGCGGTGGGTCCTTCATTTGCTTTTCTTTTCCACTCTTCGGTATTGGCTTTGTATTAGAATAGGGTTGGAAGTTTTATAGCATTTAGTACTTGGCGGTGGTATTAAGCGGAATGAAAGATCTAATACTTGGTATATCGATTAATCGCAATAATGTCAAACAACATGGATATTGTTTTTTAGGTGATATCCTAATTTTTTATGACACCAAGTGGCGGAACGAACTAGTCGTTCGCCGGTGGTAAGCGTCACGTTTGCCCATAGCACTTTGAATGCCACTCAGTGCTTTGAATCGCAAAGATATGAGTGGCACTCCCATTGAGTCCGTTACCCTGAGACATAAATTATCTAGTCCCATGTACCTGTAATTTCACTAGCACCCTTACCGTTCCAAACTGGAACGCTGTAATGCTCATGTTACTGCTTGACGACAGAAGTAGGTAAGGTGGCAGTACTTTCCTGGACGAACGCTTTTACAAACAGCTATACTCAATGACTATTTAATAAAATAAACAAAAATACAGTAAATTTTCATGTTCTAAAACCGTGTACAATTTTATTAAATTAGTATTTACAGTTATCACTAATATAAGCTACTCAGAATTAGTTTTATACATCAGAAAAATACAAATTATGTTGCCATTGAATCGATGAAGTGAAGATTATTTCATAAAAGTAAAAAAACTGCAAATAGGCGTGTTTCACAGCAGAGTCCAGATAAATTTTAGTAAAAGAACCAAGTATTGAAATTGACAAATGGTTCAATTTTTTTTCACTTTAAGTAAACCCTGTATCGCGGGTGCCACGGACACACACATAGACAATAACCATAAATTACACCCAAACTTACGAAAGAAATAACTACATTTATTTCGTTCCCTATACAATTTTTTCTCCCGGTCCGAGAATCGAACCCGAGAGTCTGCGTGACAGTCCAGCATGGTAATCGTTCGACCACGGAGGCAATATAATACTAATAAAGTAAGATTGAGTCTGAACACTTATTATTTTACTACAAATTTTACTGTCTTGGTTAACCCATTCATAGACACAACAGTATTTAATGTAACAATGTTTACCGTAAAATTAAATGTTAGAATATGACGTTACGGTACCCTGTTTCCGCTAGTATGGATGTTAAAAAAACAACTACGAGCTTTACTGTTCGAGTGCGAGTTCCAACTGCTTTCCGTGTAGTGCTTTTGCCACAGTAGTACTTTTGCGTAAAGAAGTATAAACAACGTACTGACAATCTTAGTACAGAGTACTAAAAAAAACCGACCTCAAAAGTTCGTGGAATAGCATCTATTTGCCGCTCTTGGAGGTGAAATTTTTCTTCAAATTTAAATGGGACCAATAATGAGATACCCTCTTTCCAACAAAAAAATAATCATCAAAGTTGGGTCACAAATTTTTCGCGTAACAGTCGTACAAAAAAAGCAGTCGAATTAAGAACCTCCTCCTTTTTATAAAATCGGTTAAAAATTAAAAGATTTACATACATTGAACATTTTATATTGAATCAATATAATAAGCACTACAGCAAAAAGTATACTGACATTTTTATGTGCGGTACTATTTAGGTACTGTCCATGAATTTTAATTGTAATGTAATGTAATTGTAAATATTGGAAATGCAAAATCTTACTTGTTAATTGGTACTCACTTTTAGTTGTTTCGACGGCATTGCTCTACCAATTGTCGTAGGGGCACAACAAACCTTAAAAGTACCTACATAATATATATTATCTATCTTACCTACTTAATTCCATAAGTTTAAACTTATTCTACATTTAATTGAATATTTCACTCTTTCAGCAAAACTTGATAATAATAAAAAGTAACTACCAAGAACTGGAATCAAAGTTTACCATGTTTACTGAAGAACTTCCAAAGATCCAAGAGCAAATGGGAATACTGAATGATCTATCTGATATCATGGAACAAAACCAATGTCCCGTCACCCATGTGTGCCCTAAATCAGACGTATATCCCCATGTATATAATTTAAAATACATGAGGGCTACTCACAGAGCACGCAAAAGACCAGATAACCAACTACACCGTTTGAAGGGCTCTAATAATAATAATACCGCAGTATCGCAAATACCAGCAAGTTATTCAAAATTAATAGTGTAAAAAAAAAACAATGACAGCATAGTATTATTTATTTATTCTGGTATAAAAAAATGTTGTATTCCGCTGCGAGTCACACGCACGAGTTAGCCTGAGTCAGCCAATAAATATCTGGAAAAAAAAATTACAATAACACGAAAGACTTTTATTTGTGGCTACACAGAAAAAAAGGATTTCTACTAATAAGAAAGGGCAATTTCTCAAAATATTTGCTAATTCTGAAAAAATATTTGTTAAAAGTAATAAAATATTGTCATTACAAAAATACTGCTTATCTTTTTCTAATATAATTTTACTCTTAACTTTATTCTAACTTTGAGACAAATACGTTCACTTCAAGATTTTATTTCATTTCTAATCAATTAATTGGACATTACTTACATCAAGAAATTTTTACCTCTTACATCAAATTTAAATAATCTTAAATGAATTCAAAATTTCTTGGGTGTATTTTAAGAAAATATATTCTTAAACAAAAAAAGAAGTACTTTTCTATTCAGATTAATATTCTAAATTCTAGATTATATTCTTAAAGCAACATTTCGTTGCGTTTTCATAGTCAATGATGTCGTGACATGTCGCCGAAGCCGCACACGGTAACGTTTACTTTTACTTGTGATTGTAATCATAAAAATCATAAACAGTCATTATCCAAAGAAACAATACGTAGTATCTCTAGTTTGTTAGGGTGTTATTTATAGTCATATTTTAAGAAATTTGGTTACAGCATGAAATCAAACTACATTTGTAACAAGCACAACTTTAACATGCAACTAATTGCATGTTAAAGTGGAATGTTAAAGTGGATGGAACTAATTCCATCACGCCACTGCTAGATGGCATTACTTGTACTCTGAAACGCGCTATCGTTTTGTTAACTTCAATAGTATAAAGTCATCTCATATATTTAGAATTGTTAGTGTTTTCTGCCACTGTAGCATTTATACGGTACTGAATGGTCCTCAAGTATGGTTTGGCACTGAACTGGTGTACTTTCACGCCAGTGCGACATACTGTTGGGTCCATAACCCTATAAACTTACCCTTTTTGATATTAGAAAACATAAATCTTCAGTCAAGTAATTAAGTACCTCTCAATTTTTCATTCTTTTTTTTTTCAAATCAAAATCGGACATTTCTAATAACAAACAAATATTTTGTTGAATTTAGAGTGGCTTTGTGACTTGAAGTAAATTAATTTGCTCTTGGATTAAATATTTCTGTCTTATAACAAAAATACACTTTTGAGATGTTTTTTTACTATTATCAAGTAATTATTCTCTAGCGTCTATAGGGAGAGGATCGTTTTGTTGGATTTAATAAATTTATCTTCATATAAAGAATTTTGTCTTTTTCTAAGTAATCTGTTTTTACCGTGTACGGCCCATTTTTATTTATAATAAGTGCGCATTTGACCTCCATCTCACCTGATGGAAAGTGATGATGAGGTCGACGATGTAAGAATGCCTTGCATTGGTTGGAAGGAAATAAAATATGCTTTGTTCGACGTAGGGCAGATTCTTGCCTGGGCACACACTCGTACATACAATACTAGTTATAGTGCAGAGATGTAATTTATGTTAAGCGGAATAGTAATTTCTTTATGAAAAATAGTGACAGACATAACATTAATACGAGGATAAAAATAAATTAAGCTGTTCTAGATAGTCGTCTTCACAGTCACAAATTCAATTAAGGGGCAATGTATATTATATTTTTCTATAACAAGATTCCGGTTGATTACAAAATTTGCCATTCACGAGGTTTAAAACTATAGTGAAACAAAAACTTTAAAGGTTTATTATACAACTTCCGCGTACTTGGATAACAAAAATCCGTGGTAGTATCCCGTTTAGCTCATGGAGGTAGTCTCGATCTCAAATATTTGAAAGAAAAAAAAATATTGTAAATGTTGAATGTGTACAAATGTTATTTACAAAGAGCAACCCCTAGAGTTTCTTGCTCATTCTTCTCAGGTGAATCTGCCTTACGCATGAGCGGTAGGTGTTGAAATTTTTTTATCTTGCCTAAGTGGGCGGTGAGCCAAAAAGTTTGGGAACCTATAGTCGAGAGAATGGTTGAAATTAACGGAAAAATATATTCACGAATATTTGTTAAACGAAATATTGCGCACAGAACTATAGTCGTCACAAAATAATAGATCATATTTGACAGCTAAACCAGTCGATAGTATGTAACTTTGAATGCAATCAACGAAACAGTAAATAAGCAATTAATAACTTATTGGGTTTTAAAAAAATACATAAATTTTATTGAAGGTCTATACGTTATGAAAGAAACATATTTCAAGTATTATTTTCGCAGGAATTCCAAAATAAAATCCAATTTTGAGTTACTCCGAAACGTCTTATAAACAGTTACATCTTCAGTCTAATTCTTTTAATAATAGTGTTGTAACCAATAAGCGCCGACTATCATCGAGTCAAATCGGTTTCACTTTAAAAAAAATGACTTATTTAATTACTAAAGTCGTCACAAAATAATAGATCATATTTGACAGCTAAACCAGTCGATAGTATGTAACGTTGAATGCAATCAACGAAACAGTAAATAAGCAATTAATAACTTATTGGGTTTTAAAAAAATACATAAATTTTATTGAAGGTCTATACATTATGAAAGAAACATATTTCAAGTATTATTTTCGCAGGAATTCCAAAATAAAATCCAATTTTGGGTTACTCCGAAACGTCTTATAAACAGTTACATCTTCAGTCTACAAAGAAATAATTCTTTTTAATAATAATGTTGTAACCAATACGCGCCGACTATCATCGAGTCAAATCGGTTTCACTTAAAAAAATGACTTATTTAATTACAAAAACAAAAATTTTAAAGTGCTTACAAAATTAGACTGAGTATACTAGTATTTATAGTAGACAGAACCGTAAAGTCAGATTTGTATTTCCTTTTCTTTATCGCAAATTCTGAAACGGCAACACTGATGTCGATTTAGCGTCACTCTGCATCGGCGCCCGCGCAGTCTTTCGCCGTCTTGGAAGTTGACTGTACGCTTGGTTATTCGTGGTGTTTTTTCTTGTGACTCGGCTGTGCTTTTGGACTACTTCTATTTTCAATCTCGTTGACCTTGGCTTGGATATTTTGGACTTGATTCTGTGTGAACTCTTTTTCAACATGTCGAAAAGAGGACGTGCTTTAAATAGCCAGACTCGCGAACTGGTTGTGAAATTACACGACTATTTCGAAAGGGAGTCACTTAATGGTGGACCTCTATTACCAGTGACACAAGTGCAAAATCGCGTCGCAAGTGCACTTGGAATCGGCAAAAGAACGGTACACACCATCATACAAGAAAAATATGGGCCTTCCGGCTCTCAAGAAAACGTATTACATACGCCTAGAAAGAGGAAGAAAAGCAAGCCTGTAACAGGTATCGACACGTTCGATGCAGACGCTATTCGTAACCATGTTTATACATATTATACTAGACACGAGTACCCTACTGTGAGTAAATTGTTGGTATCACTTCGAGAGCTTGGCTTATTTACTGGGAGTGCTACCTCACTGATTACAATTTTGAAAAAAATTGGTTTTAAATACAAGAAGTCTGACAAAAGAAATATTATGATGGAAAGACATGATTTAATATTACAAAGAGTTTCATTTTTGAGAGAAATGAATAAAATTACAAATTGGGATAATGTTGTGTTTATCGATGAGACTTGGTTGAACTCAAACCACACAGTACCACAATCATGGACCGACGACACTAAAGCATCCAGCTCGAAAGTGCCAATGGGAAAAGGTGGTCGCCTCATAATTTGCCATGCTGGATCAGCCGGGGGAGGTTTCGTTAATAATGCTTTACTAGCATTTGAATCAAAAAGTACAAAAGAATATCACGAAGAAATGGACGCAAACAAATTTAAAGAGTGGTTTAAAACTTTACTTCAGAACCTCCCCGAACAATGTACAATAATTATGGACAATGCATCGTATCATTCGGTTCAAATAGATCGAGCGCCGACTCAGGCAAATAAAAAGGCTGATTTGGTGGCATGGCTACAGAGGAATGGTGTCGAAGCTGACATGGAGCTATTGAAAGTGGAATTGTTAAGATTAGTGCGAGAGCATAGACCTACAAAACTTAGGTATGAAATTGATGAATTGGCACTTGAGCATGGACATAAAATTATAAGGACACCGCCGTACCACTGTCAATACAATGCTATTGAGTTGATTTGGGCTCAAATTAAAGGTTAATATTTTTGCATTTAATACTGTTATTTTAAATTCGTATATATTAAGACTTATTTTGTACTAGTAGCATATTTTAATAAAGTACAAATGTAAAGAGGTAACATATAAACTTTCGAATTTGTAATATCACTGTGAAGGAACATTACTATTTTACAACAGTGTTTTTTTTTTACAGGCTACGCAGGACGTAATAATACTAAGCCACCGTTCTCCACAAAAAAAATGATGACTTTATTAAAGGAAGCATGTACTAAAGTAACAAAGGAAGACTGGAGAAAGGTGGTGGAAAAAACTAGAAAACTAATAAAAGAAGATTTTGACAGAGATGTTAATATTGATAATTTAATTGAAAACGAGTTAATTATATGGACTGGTGAAACTAGCTCAACAGATGGTTTTGGTTCATCTTCCGATGACGTTGATAAATAAAAAATTCCAATAAGGAGGTCTTTTGTTTTACTTCAGAATTTTGTTATTTACGTACAGGTTATCCTCGTGAACTATGCTAATGTATAACTACAATACAACAACAAGTACAGGTTGCCGTTGTGCTCACTTAAAATACTTACTTATTATTTCTATTAAACTGTATAACGTTTAAATAAATGTTGATTGATATATCTAGAACTGAAAAGCAATGAACAGAAAAATAACCTAAACGATTACAAACTCCTAAAATTTTTAATCGATTTCTCGTGAGAATCGTTTAAACTGGTTACCGATATTGCAGTTCACATCACTATTTACGTTGCGATGACATGTGTCAAATATGATCTATTATTTTGTGACGACTATAGATAATACTATACGGAATCTAGCAAGGTGTGAACGCAAAGGCGACAACTGAAGTTTCAATTGACAAGTATGCCAGCATACCTTCAAACATGTTTATCAAACACGCCGTCATTCTAGATTTCCTTCAAACATATAGATTATCATAAAAAGGGATCAAACACGACCGCAGACGATCAAACAGTTTGACAAATGGCAACACTTCACATGCTTATTGTTTTGTATTCGTTATTGGGTGTTTGATGTACTTGGAAAATTACTTGACAAGTAAACACTGACAAGTAAATAAATTAATGCAGTGGAAATGAGATCGTTGAGGAAAATTTGTGGAATAAAATTGAGTGATAGAGTGAAGAATACAATATTATGTGAAATATGTGGCTTGAAAGACGATATAGTGACTAGAATAGAGAAAGGAAGGTGGTTTGGGCATGTAGAGCGGATGGATGTAAGAAGAATTACCAAACAGGTTTACGATGCGAATGTGGATGGAAGGGTTTTGAAAAGGACGTCCCAGAAGGACTTACATTGATCAGATCAGTGATGTCCTCAAAAAGGCTGGGATCCGAAGTGACAAGAATAAAAGAAGTTATATGAAAAGGGTAGTTGATGTATGTGAGCCTCGAGAGATGTGTCAGGATAGAGCAAAGTGGCGTTCCGTGGTTTCTGCCTACCCCTCCTGTGGGACTAGGGCGTGAGCTTATGTATGTATGTAAACACTGTCTAATATGATTGTGAAAATAAGGGGTTAAAATAATGAATATGTCCATAGTGTGGACGGTTTGTTTGCTTATTTGCCTATTTGTCTCTTTTGATGTGCGTCGACAAATCGTCCAGCGCGTAACGCGATTTTGGTGTTTGCTGTATTTGTCGAATAGGCAAACAAGGCAAATACTTTGTCACACATGCAACTACACATGGCGCTTATTTGTTAAATGTATCAAATACACAAATATAATATAGCCCTGTGAAGTGCCATCAAAACATGTAAAATTTGACAAACTATTTGATCGTTTACGGGGCGCTTTAGGGTCAATTTAAATTATAGTGGAATTGAATGGAAGCCAATTTTTGCAATGAAATAATACATTGCATAATGAACTTTTAAATTCGACATAGAATGTTTAGTAACAAAACATTGTTAAGCAACTAATGATAGCATAGGAGAAGAACATTTTTTATTAATACTCATTATTAAGGCTTGCTCACAATTTAAATGGGTAATTACTCATTTTTTTTTTTAATTACTCTGAGACATAAATTGAAAAGTCCCATGTACCTGTAATGTCAGTAGCACCTTTCAAAACCGATTATCAATAATGCTTATGGTACTGCTTGACAATAGGTAAGGTGGCAGCACATGCGTGTCCATGACGACCTTACGCGACACAGGGTTTCGCTAGTGCTAGTATGTTGAGTGTGTGCGTCATTATTATTATTATATTACTTCCCTGGACGACTTTCATAATGATGATGATGATAAATCTACTGCTACATAGGGCACACTATAAGTTTCCGGAACTAGCCACGTACATAAACAATATTTAAAAAGTAATTACAACATATGAAAACGGAACTCTTTGGCTGTAGAATACAGTTTGTTTTATCTGACTGTCACTTGTTTTTATTTACAATGTGGCGTCATTTTAGAAATTGGTTGTCTACATCGCCATGGATTTAACTCGTGAAAATTTTCGTAGTATGATTTTCTACGACTTTAAGTAGAATTTAACAGCTCAGCGGAGCTTCGTTCGGCTTCAAACTGCTTTTGGCGATGAAGCACCATGCAAGACGACTATTTATAGCTGGTTTACATAATTCAAACGCGGTCGTGTGAATCTCAGTGGTGAATTTCGTGATGGTCCCGCTACCCGATGGGCCCGCCCACTGCTGTGAACAACAAAAACATCGATTCTGTGCGCCGTATGATCAAAACAGACAGGCATGTGACATACTATGAAATTCGGGCATCTTTAGGCATAGGCATGAGCCAAATACAATCAATACTACATAAACATTTGGGTGTGAAAATGCTGTGCCCTCGGAGGATCCCACACAATTTGAGTGAGGCTCAAAAAACGGATCGCGTCACTTGGTGCAATGCCATGCTTACCAGATTCAACGACGGGGCGTCAAATTTGGTGTTGGACATAGTAACAGGTGATGAAACATAGATTTATAGTTACGATCCCAAAACAAAGCAGCAATAGAGCGCATTAGTCTTTCGAAATGAGCCGAAACCAACCAAAGTGGCGCGCGTGCAAAGTGCCTTTAAGCGGATGATTGCTACTTTTTTTAATAGAACTGGACACGTGGCTACTGTTGCTTTGGAGAATCGTTGTACCGTGAATAGTGATTGGTACACAACCATTTGTTTGCCGGAAGTTATTGACAAACTCCGTAAAAATAACCGTAAACGCTGAATCATCTTGCGCCACGATAATGCCAGTTCTCACACGGCCAGACAAACAAATGAATTTTTGACGGTGAACAACGTTGACTTTATGAGTCGTCTCGCGTACAGTCCCGATCTGCCACCTTGTGACTTTTATTTATTTCCAAAAATTAATAACTGAAGAGGCTGTCGAAGAGTAAGAAAAATATGTTTCAGAGATTTTCACGGAGGAGTGGCATAAATGTTTTCAAAATTGGTTCATTCGTATGAAAAAGAGCATTAACACTAACGGAGAATATTTTGAGAAACAATAAACTCATTTCTGACCATTTATAGTATTTTTTTCTTATTCATTCCGGAAACTCATAGTGCGTCACACGTACTATACTTTCTGCTTGCGGGCGGGGTTTACAGACGTCTCAGTGACATAGTACGAACAATGTTAGCAACTAGATGCCTCAAGATCGAGTTTATAACAAGAAATAGAGACGAAATGTCATTTAATTTGCTTGAAACTAGTCTGCCATATCATTATTGTTACAACTGCGTTCCGATTGGCCAGCCCCAATTCGAAACAATTGACGGGTGTCGTCAAATATTTTACTTCAAAACGACCAGTTAACTTGAGCTATAATGGACGAAAATTGCAAAATTACATATTTAATATTTAATTACCGATGAGATTTGGTTCTGTTTGTTTTGTAATTAGAAGTATTGCTGTTTTTCCCCACACCACCGAATGGAACAGCACGCCATTGTTAGATATATTATCTTTATTACAATAAATACAGAATATTTTTGGAATATACGGAAACGTACATACAGGTCAGTTGGTGGCGCTGTACTATTTCAGCTTTCTAATTTGTAATTTCAGGCAAAACGAGCGTTGATATTTATAAGTGATGTATCACTGATGAGTTACCAGGAATGCATGGCCCTTATTTCGTCTCTATTAACGCGAGCCACCGTTGCATACGCGCGTCGCCGCGTGTTTAGGACTATAGGCACTAACAGTGTACCGGTTCAGAGTACCAAATACGATCACGGGGGTGCTATTCCAATTGCCCTAAATATTGTTCGATACGTTAACGTTACTACTCAATTAAAGGTCAAATTTCGTGCTTAACCTACAGATCACCGCACGTTATCGTGCGCTGCAGGTAGGTACTTGCCCGCACCGCGCTTGGCCTCTCGTCATCTGAACGTATTCCGACGGCGGTGTCAACGCGCGTTGTCGCGTGCCAGGTGTGCGTCCATCAAAAGGAAGTTAATGGAGAAATTTATATTACGCTCAACTACAAAGTTATTTAGTACCTGTGTTAATGAGGAGCGCATTTTTCATGGTATCGGGAACTGCAGCCGGATCGACTGGCATATCTGGGTCTAACCTTGGGACTGTGATTGGGGTATTCAGGTTTCGCTGTGACTCCAGTGGATTTCAGTGAAAGTGTCGTTTTAGGTCCCACGTCTTTTCCATAACTTCTTAATGTAGTTTGGACATGGTCTTCTATAGGAAATTCCAAATCGACATATTTATCGACGTTCTTGTTTCTCGATTTACATGACTTGGCAGATATATGGCTGCATTTTTGTATATTGACATTTCTTAACAGCGGTGTTTTCTGTGTTGTAGCGTTTTTACATGATTTGGGTAAAATTTTGAAGAGTGAAGATATTTGTTGAGATCTACTTCTAATGGAAGGTTTTACATTGATGTCCTTCTCGTCATACTCGAATGACGATTGCATGTAAGAGTCTAAAAACTTTGGTGTCTTACGTTGTGGGTTACGTTTTTGTTCGAATGATTCTCGCTCACTTGGATATGGGTTGTCAGCGAATACTACGAGGGTTTTCAATTCGTCATGAAGGTGATCATATGCAAGTCCTATGTTATTGACGGTGCCCTGAAATAAAATAGCTTGTAATAATAGTCGGCCTATACAGTTCTACTTCTGGGTACAGGTGCAATACAAATTAGGAACTTCACGATCACCATCATTAACCCGTTTATACGTCCCAGCACTGGGCACGGGTCTCCTCTCTGGCGAAGGCTTAGGCCATAGTCCGCCACACTGGCTCAATGATATGCGTTAGGCCTTTAAAAAAAATAGGACTGAAAACAACATATTATTATAGCTAAAATTGTGGTTTTAACGACTTTAACGTATCGACAGACATACATGTGCTCATAATATCTCGAATATCATGGCGCTCACCCCGCGCGGCCGCCTCGCGGTTACCGGGCAGAGTCGGCATTGCCGCCGCGCAGCGACCGCGTGCATCTAACTGTCACGGCAAAATGCGCTCTATTTACTTAGCTTTTACGTTCTACGCGGCTTCCCGCGCGGTGGTTGTATTATTCAGAGGAATTTAAATGTTGTTGCCTAGTAAATAGAATTCAGATTCGCCATTAATGTGTAATTATATCGTTGTGCGGCGGGCGCGCTACGACTTTCTCATCGTGTAACTAGGCGTTTATGAACACAAGATTACGATCGTAAACCATAGTAAGTACACCTTGAACTCGTTGACATTGAATATTTAGATCGTTTTGATTACAGTTATACGTCGGTTTACATTCATACTATCGTTATAGTTTTTTTAAAATCTCAAGTGATGGAACGAACTAGTCGTGTGCCTGATGGTAAGCTACACGCCTGTCCATAACAGTTGTAGTGCCACTCAGGCTTTAAATCTCAAAGATCTGAGGATTACTGCCACTGCGCCGAGACATAAATTGATAACTCCCATGTGCCTGTAATTTCACCAGCACCCTTACCCTTCGAAACCGGAACGCATTAGCACATTACTGCTTCGTGGCAGAAATAGGTAATATGGCAGTACTTCCTTCAACCAACTCTTTCACAAGGAGGTCTACTACAACTAACATATAAAGCATATAGACTTGTGAAGCATTTATAAAGATTTTGAGACTTGTAGAAAAAACTACGTTATAAGTAAAACAAATAGAACCTTCAGTGTATATAAACTGGATTTCATCTTGACGAGTTCCTTTTGTATCACATGACGCTCCCAAAAGTTGACAGCCATGTGGCTGAAGAGGGCGAATAAACTAATGAACAACACAGTTTCTATAAACAGGGTCTTAATAAACTTTCTATCTGGCATGATGGGATTTTCGAAGTTCGGATTCTGGAAAAAATATTTGTAACAAACTGGTAATAGAACGTTTTTGTCAGCGTTCTAAAATAAGTGCTATAGCCAATGATAGCTGGGTTTATACTTTTAAATTAAAGTTTTTTAAATTTTAAGTTTAAATAAGATACAATAGCTCAGCAACACAACAATGATTTTTGGTACATCCCGCCACGGTGATATGTTTTTACATTTCTTTTTATTGTTTGTTAATACTTGGTTGTTGTTTTTTACATTCTATATCAATTTGTTGTTGTTGTTGTTTTTTCCATTATTTCCGTAAAGGAAAAGGCAAAGGTTTGATACCATACAGCACACAGCCAAGATTTTTTTTTCCACTATGCAGCGAAGTCTTGGTAAATTATTCTTCTCTTGTGTTTGACAGAACAGAGTTAAAGAGAATTAAAAACCATGGACGTATTTGTTAAAAACCTACACTTATATGGTGGAAAAAAAATAAAAGATTGCATCCTATTATGGCCTAAGGGAATAGCCTGTCATTGTCATTAGTCCAATGATCTTAGAATAGATGACGTTTTTTTTTTATTTATAAGAATTCTTTCCGTCTTATAACATTGCATTAGTATTTGGCTTAGAGGACGGAAAAAAATCCATAGTCTAAGGTATTTGGACAATGACCTTGCTTTGACAGCAGTAATTTTGCAAAGAAAAAAGTGTGGTGTACTTTTCTTTAATTTCATAGGATAAGGCTAAGTTCACATGAACGCGTGGATCCAAATTCATAGTGCAAATAGTATCATTATTTAATTTACTCGGGCTTAATCTGAAAATTATTACTTTAAGACTATTTTAAGTGTAATTTGTTTACCTAGGAAATAAGATTCTTTGAGTTTCAGTTTGAAAAAGGATGCAATCGACGTAATGAAATAGTAAATTGTTTTCTTCGTGTAGTCTTAGCAGGGTTAGCACGACAGTACGCGATACTGCTATAGGTACTCGCTTAGGGTATACTACAGGTTGGGGTATAAAGTGACAAACAAGCTAGAAAAAATTGTTTCAATTAAAATAAAATGCACCCAGTATCATCTTTGCCTTTTTTATTCGATGTTTCAGTTTAAATCCACAAACAAATTAACTCCTCCATGTCAATTCTCAATTAATGTAGACTACCGCGCACACGTCTGTTGTCATGTGAACGATTGCACCTCGAACCGCTACGCGGTACCGCACATTTATTATGAACTTAGGCTGGGTTCATACGGGTCACGAGTACGTACATGGTACGTTCAGATGACGAGGGTCAAGCGCGGTGCGCGCAAGTACTAGCAGTGAACGAAAACGCGAGGTCATCTGAACACGTAGGTACACTACCGATAATGTTGTAAAATATTTTCTCTGAACCCGGCGATAACGCGTGTACATAGATATAAACAAATTATGTAAAATGTATAAGCATCTAAACGCGCGATTTGAAAACGCGTGTTAAATGTTTGTCATCTGAATTTAGCCTTAGCCAAATGTGTTACATCGCAATAATATAGAGATAATTACATATTAGAACATAGGGGAAGAAAAATACCAGTAGTTCTGTCAACAGAACTGTAGAACAGAACTAGTGGGAATAATCGTTGGTTACCATTGTTCAAGTGACTACAACAATGACCAAACCACATACCATTCATAAAATTGTCGATTAACCACCACCTTTATCATGACTTTACAGTCACATTCGTCGCTAGAGACCGCGTATAAAATTTATAATGGGTATACAGGGTGTAAATTTGAGACGGGGCAGCAAGGCCAGCTACCTTAATCGCTGTAGTTACAGGAAAACGGTTCTAGAAGACTATCCATGAATTTTGAAGATATTTTGATTGGCATTCACAGATTTTGAAAAAAATGGTACAGCCAGCGAGATAAAAGGCAATTTTTACAAAAAAATTTTTATGCCATTCGATCGCGTGTATTTATGTATAGCAATAGGTAAAGTGGTAGTACTATCTTGGACGAACTGTTTCACAAGGAGGTCTACTGCTACTAAAATATTTATGAATATGTTCAAATGCAATTTCCATTTTTCTGTCAACGATCACGAAAGAACTTCCATTGAAAAGTCATCATTATTAAGCAGCAGTGTGGCAGCTTTGGTTACTTTTGTGACTGCAATATTAATAACGTCAATGTCCAACAATATCAATTAAAATCAATGTAAAACATTATTTTCACAAAAAAAGACAAAAACAGTTTCCCCGTATCTCGGTTTCGGATTTCCCCATACTGTGCCAGTTAAAAAAAATCACACGGTACATTTCATCAAGCCTGTCTTCCAATAGGATCCTTTTTCGTTTCTTATCCTCGCGTATCTCCTTTCTATTATATTTGCTTCTTTTGAACTTGGCTTCACTGAGGATTTCCTTAATGGGTGTGAGATAAAGTACGCCGAGGTTGGCTCTATAAAATTTACGCAATTACGCTACTAACATTCATCTTTATGTCTCATAGTCATTATTATCATCTTTTTACAATACAACAACATATAATCATATATGGTTTGCGTAAACATGATCATGTTTCTCACTATCGTCCTAAGCGGCTTGCCGGAATACTCATATACCATCCCTTACTTCTTTACAACTAATGTTTAACCTCTTTCTCAAACTACCTTAAGGATGGACTTAGTTTTCGACACTGCTCTTATACTCACTCATTACACTCTACGGAAAATCTTAGTCTCAAGATGCCATTGCACTGCACTTCGTTTTACGATTCCTCTTTCTCTGCACACGTTGTTCGTCTCTGGAGCTCTGTCCCAGTTACGATTAGACAAGCGCAGTCGTCGTAAGCGACACGCCTGTCGATGACAGTTGCAGTGCCACTCAGTGCTTTAAGTCATAAAGCTCTAAGGGGCCGGTCACCTTGAGATATAAGTTGACAAATCACACGTGCCTGTAATTTCACCATTACTTTGACCCTTCAAAACCGAAAGGTAGTAATGCTTATATTACTGCTTGGCGGCAGAAATAGGTAAGGTGGTAGTACATCTAGTACAGTACAGGTAGTTCACAATCAGCTCTACTGTTACATACAAGGAGGAGATTTGGTAGTGGACTTAAAGGCTTAGCGGTGGAACCGCTAGTTGTGCAATGATGAGAAGTGAGCGTGCCTACAGATCAGGTACCTATCTGGAAAATGGGGAGGGTACTGTACATGCTCCCGGGGCGGCTCACCCGAGGTACTAGCCTTTCGAGGACCGGTTGAAGTCAAGTGAGAGGTGTGACACCTTGTATACTGGTTGATCTTGGGTCAGAACCTGAACTTATAAGGTTCCTGTGCGCGTACAGGTTATAGGTACAAACTTTGATATTGACCAGTACTATCCACTCCGGCTGGTTGGCAGCCTGATGCTGCCAATGCGAAGGCTCTATGTTGCACTTCTTCATGTGACGCTTGAGTACATCCTTGTACCTAAGGAATTGTTCGCAACGCTTACGCTTGCCTTCCTCAAGTTCAGAGTAAAAGATGCGTTTCGCCACTCGCTGGTCAGCCATTACTTACTTAGAATATTAAATAACAAAAGTTCCTTTTGACTCACAACATGCAATGAAACAACAAAATACACTGCTATTGAAATATTTATTATAGGAATAAGAGTTCACTTTACAAAATTTCGGGTGCATTACTAGTAGCATTCACTGGTTTTTTGGCGTCGAATGAGTGGGTATATACGTAGGACATTATGGCAATTTCCTGAAACAATTTTGCAGCTTTCCGTTACAAAAACTGTACATGAGGCAATAAAGACTCTCCTGTATATATTTATTATTTTGACATGCGTACTTATTTTTTATCAAATCATAATGTTTTGTTTTGTTTTTTAAATTATTCAATTTTAATTAAATGTAATTATGACTTTAACAAGAACTGCATACATTAATATTTTGCTTTCAATATTTGTATGCCAATTGCTGTCTACTATGTTTGCAGAGGCGCGAGTTGATGGTTTCAATGCCATTATCCGCAAAAAAACAGCTTCATTGCTCAGCAGACTGAGGGGAAGCACCAACACTATTTTACAGGTCATACTTGATAGATATGTCCTACCCATTATGGGTGTCCGTCAGGATGACTGGACCAAACGAGATATACAAATCACACTGTGCTCATTATTCATTACCTATTTTCTAATATTTAGTACCTTTATTGACATATTTTCTACCTTTACGCTAACGGAAATATTAAAGAAATAAAGTGGCCAGCCATTCTGACGCCAGGTTAGCAGGACCACTCTACGTTTTTCATTGTTCTAGCAGTATATAATTTACTTTTTGTATGTAACTATTTTAATAACTAGTAGAAAATAGATAGTAAATAATGAGCACGAACAAGCAGTTTGATTTGTACTCGTATATCTCTTTTGGTCTAGCCATCCTGACGGACACCATTATGGACTCTTTCATTCGGGTCCTGATTGAATAGTCTCTCAAGAGACTATTGGGTCTGGATGCGGGTGAGAGATCTGAGAGTCGGCTGTCACCTTTTTTATAATTTTATTTTTGTGCAACTATTTATTATTATTACCATTAGCCTGGTTTTTCAGTTATATTTGTAAGTTACCAGCACTATTAGACCTTAAAAAAATGTGTCGTCGGAATAAATAATTACGTTATTATTATTAAACATATAAATTGTATATACCATGTATGCTTACATATAAATATCTTTATCTCTCTATTTAATGCTGATACCTATCTTTACATTTATTCAAGTATTATGCTTTATTAATCCTTTTTCGAAGGCGCGTAGTCTACCGATGCCTAGTTTCGTAAATGTCTTGTTTATTAGGAAAAATATGTGGACTTAAATCGCTACTATCTCACTTTAAAATATTAAATGACAATGACCAACCTCTAGGATACAATTTCTACTAATAGTTTTGTTCTTAAGGCGATGTCTTTCTTAACGTACATTGTTAATTTGCCCAAACACGAGAACATCGATGAATGATTGTGATTCTGACTTTTAAGAGATTTTTCAAGAAAATATGGTAATTAGTAAAAAAAATTGACAAATAAGGAAATAAATCCTCGAAGCACTAATCTGTTGTAGTTAAAAACTGATGATTGTGCCGGACAGCTAGCCCGGCCCTGTGAAAAATGTACAGTTGTGGTGCTAGAAGGACAGTAAAATTAGGATCAGATTTATAAAATGAACTTGGGCTTAGCAAAACGAAGTTTTTGGAACGTCGAAGGACTTAGCAAAAATGGCGAGCTATGCAAGTTTTTCGTATTTAAAAAAGAAACTTTGCCTTAGTCTAAGCAAGAAATTAAATTGAACTTTGAATTTAATTCGAATTTCTTGCTTAAACATACAAAGTTCTTTTTGTGAATACGAAAAACTTCCTTAGCTCGCCATTTTTGCTCAGCAGAATTCCAAGTTCCTTTTGTAATCTCAGCCATAGATCTAATAGAAACGATTTAAAATGCACCGCTGGGTAAAACTAAGTAGTTAATATTGCTGTAACCTATGTGTTTACTACTCTGTTTTAAATGATGATTTTAACCTTGTGCGAGGCGTTTTTGTATGGGAAATAGAATCGCTGAAGGAAACCAATTTTCTGTTCGACATGCACTGGCTCCGAATGTGTTGAACGCAGGGCGCTGCTTGTGCGTACGGATAGGTCGCGTAGATTCTGCGTGTAAGAATAATAAATAATGCATCACCAAAAAACAACAAAAGGCACAAACAAAGAAAAAACTGAAAAATGGAAATAAAGGGACCGGTATAACTGAAACTGAAGTTTTTATAACGAAAATTTTTATTTCAAGAAAATAATTTCATCTTGGCACAAAAAAGAATTCAATATCTAAATATGCAATCGAATCACAACCTTGATGTAATAAGGCCACATCTGCAAAATGACAACTTTTTAGTAGAGAGGTTCAAATATTCTACGAACGAGATAGCGTTATAAAATTATTTTGTTTTATGTAGTTCGTATAGTTTTTGTGAATTTCATGTGATAAAGAAATTTTTGACGTATGATTAACATCACATGTGGCTTTACGAAATATTGGAAGTGAAAATATTTTTTTTGGGATATAAATCGCGTATATTTGTTTTATTAAATATCAGAACTCTTTCTTACTAATATGACATTCATATATGTTATGTGAAAATACTCCACTAATTTCTTGTTATTATTAAAACAAACTAAAGAAGTTCGAACAAACATCCAATCCGCCCCGGTATGGCGAGGTCGCTGATTTGTGTCCCGGATCGAAGGAATTTTTCCTTGTTAAATATAAATATGATAAGTATAAGAACAAATATACACTATTTAGATCCAAAAAATAGTTTTATTTTCAATAGGCATATAGTACATATTAAACCAAGAACTCAATAAACATGTAATCAAATACTTTTTGACAATCTTTTGACGACTTTTTGACTCTAACTCTAAATGATGAGTAGGTCACCATATTTCTGAAAAGATCGGAGGAAAAGTCGAAAAAACTGTCAAAGAACTAGCATAGTAAATATGAAATAAAATGGGAACTTTGATTAACCGTTTACTAACAGTTTCCGTGTTCTGGTCATGCTTGGGATCTTTGAGACAAAAAATGTCATCAGCCGTGGTCAAGCAAGCCACTTCCGCACGTCCCACATGTGTCTAAGGGTAAATTGCAAAGAAGATAATGTCTGGGCTAGATTCATTTTAGGGCAAAACCTTTATGCGACACGCGATTAAAATAGAAGTGAAAGTACCTGGTTTTGACTCAACTTATGAAACACTACGTGTGTCTGCGTCCAGGCGTTTTTATTATGCAGTTTTATATTAGTATCCTTTAATTACAAATGAATCGCTACCTACTAGTGAGTGCTGTGGTTGTAGGTAATGGTTATTCCGAGCTTATGACTTCAGATAAACATATGTTCCACTTCGTCGTATTTACCAGGTTTCTCAATACCAGCGTTATCCCCGTCATAATCCTCATTATCATCATTTCCTCTGTTATCCTATTAGAAATGCGAATCGTTTTAACTAACCGTGACTAGATCCAAAACTTTTTTCATGGCTTTCACATCACTGCGGACTTGTACCTTGTGGGAAATGTCTGGAAGAAGGAACCCCAGCACTATGATCAAAAGGATGCTGATCACAACAATATAATTTTCTTCTATAGCGTTGCACAGAGCCCAAAGTAATTCGGTGGCACTGTCGCCTAGACTGCTCATCTTTTTTCTACAGTAAGTTTCGAAAGTACTGTCGAAGTTCCTATGGGACTTGGGTAAATTATGTCTGCGTCGAGGAGATAAGGACACTGCGGAATAATAATGACAACATACGACATGAAAAGCGTACTGAAATTTGTAACATTCATATTTTTACATCGTCTTATTCATCTGCAACACGTCCGAGTTGATAGCTGACCGGTTGACTGCAACTGTATTGTCAGTAAGTGTTTTTATTAGGTAAATATTGTATGTAATAATTTTTTTCGATGTGGCACAAACTACTGCTAAAGTACTAAAGGTTCAGTTCAATGGAGACTTGATGGTATGCATTCATTAATGTGTGGCACCTGGACCCTATAAGTATCTCTTTAATGTGTGGCACCCTTTAAGTATCTGTTGTACACATACTTTAATGAATTTTCGATACAAATAACGAAAATTATTATTAGGTTATACCTGCTTCGTTTCGCCTCGCCATCCTAATTTTGTTCCATGATTGTTTTCAACTTAATGCTTAAAATTTTGATAGGCAGTATAAAGTCATCGGTTCCATGTTAGATTAAGGTATTTTACTTCATAATTTATTTTGTTGTTAATGAGCCATTTTGTGGTACAAGTAGGTATTTCATCTATGAGATGAAGCGATGAACTAAAGAGAATAAAACATTATTTTTTCGTAGACCCATCTACGCATTTTTTTTATTTATTTTTTATTTGGCACTTCACGGGTAGTATTCGGGCCAATGTAAATTATGGAAAATTAAAGCGGATAAATTTACGTATGAAAAAAAATGCAATTTTATAAAAAAGATCAACGAGGTGTAAGTGGACGTTATATTTGTATTTACACAATACATGAATCATTTTATAGTATTACGAGAAATAATCATACGTATCCTTAGATACGTGTTTGTAAATAATATGATGTGTGCAGCTGGGTAGAAGAGGGAAGTGAAAGAAACGCTAATATAATCACAATAATTATTCATTTTTTAACCGACTTCAAAAAAGGAGGAGGTTCTCAATTCGACTGTATGTTCTTTTTTTTTTCTTTTTCATGATTCTTTTTTTGTTGGAAAGGGGATATTTCCATAGTGGTCCCATTTCATTTTGAAGAAAATCATCCACCTCAAAAGGTGGCTGTTCACGCATGAACATTCATTTTTATAAATAGCGCCTAACTTTAATTTAGGAGCAATTACTTTTAGGAATTATTTAGTTGATTTTGCTATTTCTCCAATTCAAGGCGTTTTTCTCTCGATATACTTTGAGTAGTGTCGTAGTGAGAACCTATTTTTATTATCTCCAGTATCAAGTCCTGTATAGTGGCGAACTAGGGGATATTTCAATGAAACTTAGCAAATAGACGTAATTCCACGTACTTTTGAGGTCGGTTTTTTTATTTCTACAGTTTTAAATAAACAAATAAAATTAATTTTCTTAGGTAAACACTATCCCGAGAACTCAAATAATAAAAGCGCACCACTCATTACGAACATGTTGGTCAGCATGTCGGATAACAGCAACCATTTGCGCAGCTTTGTTTCGCTTAGCAGGAACTTTGTGGAGTTTTAAAAATTTGTTACTCCGAAATTTAGTAAACTGTCGCTACTTCGGATAAAAAGATAAAAAATTTTAAAACTTTCTTTACTCCAAAGTACACAAGGGTGAAATTTTAACTACCTGACATCCTTTATGTTACTGGACTATTTTATTTTTGTGAACAAAGTTAATTTAAAAATAATACAATTAGTGTACCCATCCATCGGTATCGTCATAGTAAATAAAGTTGTGGAAAGCAGTAGGTATTTCCTGAGAAATTAAATACTAACTATATAGGTAACAGAAAAACTAGAAAATATGAATCTTGTGATCCAGGAGAAGAGTAACGAATATTATTTAATTTTATGATAATATAGAGTGTCACTCGCTCATTCGCCTAATTTACGCAAAGTATTTATGATTTTTTTACTTAAATGACTCAAATTCATAACTGCAATTTGTCATTGTGTCATGACACAAGCTATGGATAGGTACTTTTGAATTATCAAAACACTATAAAACGTTTTTTACGCACTACATTTTCTTTACGATTTTTTTAAATAAAAAAATCAGTTTCAATTTAACTTCGTAAAATTTTCACTTTATTTGTTGTTAACGTCTGCAGCCAACTAAAATTTACATGAAAAAAGTTTAAATTTTCTTCAGCCCGGATTTCACAAGGGTGAACCTCGCCCATAACCTAGACACAAAGTTTATTATTAATATACGAGTATAATCAACCTACACTACCCTGTGAAACCCCTACACTGTAACATCAAAAAGAGTATTTTGAGAAGAAGCTGTATAAAGAATTCTTCAGATTATCGTAATTTTTCGGGTTAGTGACACAAAAAGATTAACTATTTTGGTAATTTTCGGGTTAGTTTTCTCAAGCTAATTTTGGTGGCAATTTTTATTATTTCAGTATTCGAGTGTATTACCGTGAAATATTAAATAAAATTTCAAGATATTAATTAATAAGTCATGATAATATTCTAGAATACGTATACAAAAAAATTGCAACCGAAATTAGGTATAAAAATCTAACCTGATTCATGGTGTAATGAAATTATAAAACAAAGATATACAGGGACTTGCAGGTATATTCACTTTATCGCGAATCCCAGTGGACGGCATGTATACTAACTTCAGTAAAGCGTTCGATAAAGTCGATTATACTCAATAATCAATATCCAATATATTTATTGCATTCATATGGTACATACATGTCAAATCCTTTTAAACCAATTGTCGCTTTCGGGTATTGATGGGTCGTTGCTTGAATGGGTTAAGTCGTACTTATCTCATCGGCATTCTAAATTTTTACATTGCCCTGTTTGGGGTTCCCCAAGGATCTCTCTTGGGTCCTACATTTTTCAACGTATTTATTAACGACATAATTCATTGTTTTAAAATAATAAAACCAATAAAGTCTTCCAAGCATTCGGAACTACTGCAAGAAGATATCAATAATTTATAGTATATTTGGTGCACGTCAAATAAAATGATTTAAATATTGCTAAATGTTACCCTATACGTTTTTATACAAATACAATATTGACAGACAAGAATTAAGGACGGTAGACGAGATTCGGGAGTTGGGGGTTTTAGTAGACATTTTGAAGTTTGACTCACATATTATAAAAACGGCAAACAAGGGTTTCGGGATGATGGGTTTCATACTGCGTAATGCTAAGAAATATAACTCTTTCAAGCATTAGTACGACCTGGGCTAGAATTCAACAGTGTTATTTGGAGTCCACATTACGAAGTGTACATTAAACGTTTGGAAAGTATTCAAAAACGCTTTCTATATCATTTGACATATGGTGATTTTAGGACTAGGAGACTTCCGGGGTACTCACATAGACTCAAGCATTACAACTTGACTTCTTTGGTCAACCGTAGAAAGAGTTAATAAAGTCCAGTAAAAATTTCTACACAAACTTGTTCACAGTTCATTAGATTTCCCTCAGTTATTGAATATGTTGCAATTCAATACTCCTTGTAGATTGCTCAGGAAAAGCGCCTACAACTTTTTGCCGTACCAGGTTCACAAAGGAATCCCGGTCATTTCATTCTTTTGCCAAGGCTATGCAGGACGTATAACTCGCTTTCTAAATCCCATGATTTAGATATTGGTCTTCTGATAAACAGTTACAAAAGAAGGTTAGGTGATATTATAAATACATAAATTACATTTCAATTAATTTTATATTACTCAATAAATTCTCTGAAATTTATATTTTAATATTTTAAACAACAATAATTTTGTTAATATTTCGTAAAATATTTTTAGTTTTTCTATGTGGAATGTCCTGCATAAATAAATAAAAATAAAAATAAAATAGCTTTAAGTATGTACTTAACAAATTATAGATCTAAGTTAAAATAAATAAATACAAAATATGCGCGTGCAACTGAATAGCAAATCGAAAATTTGGTTTCCCGTTCTAGGTAACCAAATTAAATTTTAGGAATATTTACAATCTTTAGAAAGCCGTCTGTAGTTTGTAGATTTATTTACTGTACTTGTACTTGTACTTATTTTAAATGAAATAGCTACCAAAATTATTTATACACTGTGAACATTTACCTAATGTGAAAAAACTAAAACCCATATTAGACTATTTTTACGTAAAGGTCACTACAAAACTGCGGGAGGCGTTTAAACCAAAACTGCGATAAAACCACTGAGAAGAACAATGTGAAACAGTTGCAAAGAGAAACAGTTTTCATACAAGCATGTCCAGTCGACCCGATTAAACAGTCATTACATTTGATTTCAATATTTACAAAGTGGTTTTAGTCTCATAGATAATATTTTTATGAATCTTAGATAACGGACTAGATTTAAAAAAATAATCATTCATTGTAAACAATGCAATCAACAAACCACTTTGGTGATCTGATCTGTACGAAAGCCAGCTCTCACACAGTCTTAGGGTCGTATTCCAGAACTCTACTCAATGCTCAAGTCAGGATTGCACTGGAAACACAAGCACTGGAAATACGACCCTAATGGCAAGGACTTGAGTATGATTTCTAGTGTTTTAAACCATACTCAAGTCCTAACTTAAGCATTGAGTAGAGTTCTGGAATACGACCCTTAATGATGTAACAATATTTAGATAAGTCACTAGTAATATATTCTGAGACTTTTTTCTTTATTTTACGCCCCGCACTAGGTTAACGCCGTATCATAGGTGCCATGGACATACACGTAGACAACCACAAATTACGCCCAAATTCACGAGAGAAATAAATGTAGGCCATACAAATATACCTCCCGGCCCGGGAATCGAGCCCGGGATCTCTGCGTGGCAGACAAGCATGGTAGCCATTTGATCACAGAGGCAGTTAAACTCTCTCACAAAGTTAAAAAGTTAACTTTGTGCGAGATAATAGAGATTTATTGTTATAAATTCCAATTTACTCGAACATATAAAACGTTTGTGACACATTAAAACGCTTTAAACGTTTTGAATTAACTACATAACACCCAGTATACTTACTACTGCGCTTTTTTATTTTTGTGAACAATACAAACTAATATTACAAATGCAATTATAATTCAGTCTGTTAAGTTTTCGTCTAAACTGCTGAACCAATATTGGTGAATTTTGGCGTAGAGTTAGATGGGACCTAGGGGAAGGACATAGGCTGCATTTTGTCATAAAAATAAATCTTAAAGGGGGTGAAATAGGAGATGAAACTTTGTATGGAGAAACAATTAAACTTTTTTTATAATATCAAGTGACGGGATAAACAAGTAGTGCGTATTGGCATCGTCCCAATGACTGGAGTGTCAAATCCAAAAGGCTAACCATGGTCTCTTTGACAAGACTGGATTTCCTCTTCACTGACCCTTGCATTGGTGAAGTACCTATCTACAACTTTGCTGTCATCAGCATACGCAAAGGTACCTAGAATTAACATATCATTCATGTGCAGCAAGAGAGTTTCAGACAGTACGGAACCCTGAGGAACTCCGGGCTCCGTACTGTCTGAAACTCTCTTAAGAGTAACTTTCTAAGACCGCTCGAATCGAACGTTCACTCAAGAAATCCGAGATCCAATTGCAAAGGTCAGTGAGAAGCTCATAACTTACTTAAAAGGCTTGCTTGACAGACCCTCTCAAAGGCTTTAGAAATGTCCAAAGACGTGCTTCGCCTTGCTTTTCTATAGCCTTGCTCCATATGTGATGGGCATACACAAGAAGATCCCCAGTAGATCGCCCTCGTCGTAATTCGTACTGGCGATCACTGAGAAGATCGTTGTCTTCAAGGTACGAAAGAAGATGGTTGTTGAGTACACGTACCATAGTCTTGCAGAGTATGAAAGTGACTGAGATAGGTATATAGTTGACAGGGTCCACCTAGGTATTTAGTTGAAAAACTAGTGACATAAATCTGCGACCAGGCAATAGAGCAACGAATAATACATGATTTAATTATTATGATATTAGAGTTGTCACTCGCCCTTTCCGGTAATGCTGGCAAAGTGAGTGTAAACAACTTTTAATGACACAAACTATAAATAGCGATTTATTCTTAAATTTACATGTATAATAAACTTTCAAAACTGATCACAAAGCTAATCGTAGATCAAATCAAATCACAATAGCAAAAGCAGATTTTCTTGTTCGAGGGGTGAGAGTCAGGTGACCCGTAACACAGGCTTTTCAAACGTACCACGTGCGCCTGTCGCTCACTTAAGTAGTTTGTAGTACCAAAATCGTAGTATGACACAGATTTACTTAGTTCTTAAGCTGCTTTTGTCAGTGAAAATAAATAATAACAATAAATAATCAAAAACATTTTGTACGCACCATATTTTCCTTGATTTTTCTATAAAAATCATTTTTATTTTTGTACAATTTTCACTTGATTTGTTGTTAACGCCGGCAGCAGGGCGGTGGCGTACAACAGGACTGTGTGCTTGTCTTGACAAATAAGCATGACCGGTTTGGATCTGATTATAAAAGAAATGTTCATAATTCCTTGCTTTTTATGATATTAAGAGACGGAACGAACAAGACGTGCGCCTGGTGGTAAGCGGCACGCCTATCTATAACAGTTGCAGTGCCATGCAGAGCTTAAAATCGCAAATATCTTATGGGCACTGCCACCGTTCCCGTCAACCTGAAACATAAGTTGACATACATGTGCCTGTAATTTCACCAGCAACTTTACCCTTCAAATTCGGAACGAAGTAATGCTTACATTACTGCTTGGTGGCCGAAGTAGGTAAGGTGGCAGGTCTTCTCCTGACGAACTCTTTCACAAGTATAATATAAGTAAGTATATAAGTCTTTCACAAGGAATAAGTATAATTTCACAGTGTCCGACCCTACATAAACCTATTCAAGGTTTGTCCTATATTTGTCTCAAGCACTCCAGTAGACTAAACTAAGTGCATAACATTTTTTTTTATCAAATGGGCATGCGCTTATGGAGATCTAAATATATATATCTTAGCAATTTCGGTCAATTTGCTGTTGAAGCCTGTAATTGGAGAGCCTAAGAATTTTAATTCTGTAAGTCTAATACACTTCTAAAATAAGCAAAATGATATAGTATGACTAATCGCAGTTTGTCTAGGCTAGGTAACAAACCATGAATATACTTACGTAATCCAGAACAAGTTGGCAAACTAGGGACTGTTTTTCTGCTCGGACCATTGCGTGTGCTAAGACTGATTAATATAAACAAAAGTATTATTTTTACATTTTGGGATAAGAAAGCGTCTAAGATACTATGTTTAGAAAAAAATGTTGGTATTAAGTATTCTCTTGTTCCACTTTACATTGATATTGTGCTGATAACAGATGTTTTACATTTTTTTTAACGTAATTGTGTCTTTCACACTCCAAAATATGACTACATATTTAACATCATAATATATATTTAATAACAGAATATTAAGTGTTTAAGAATGAAATTGACAATTTTAAACAACAAACCTATAAAAAAATCGAGATATTTACATGCCTTATTAGACAATAACACAACAACGGTAGAAATATACAGACGACAACGATAGAAATATAATGTCTTAGGAGGTCTTTTTTGCTGCTACGTTTTAGAGCATTGTTCCGACGTTTGGCAAACCACATATATCAAGATAAGACAAACCGCCGCCGTTCGTACGGCATTGACTGTAGATACCAGATTTGCAAACTTGTAGACAATATTTAGAGTATGCTAATATCGACTAGAGATGAAACGGATAGTGGTTTGGCTGGATACCGGATATCCGGCGAGCAACTAGACCGGATAGCCCGATATCCGGCTGCCGGATATCGGAGTCACAGTCGCAGACATGTCCCGACAGGTTTATAGCGTGAATCGAATTGATTGATTAGTGAATGGTATCACTTTCACATTGACAATTTGAGTTGTTGTGCTCACTTGGTTTTTATTAAACCGATAAATTTATTCGATAATACAAACAAACACACAACAGAAAAATGTCAACAGTGAAAAAAAAAAATACTTAGCCAATTTAGCAATGTTTTAATATCAGTGCTGTTTGTTGTACTGAATGCAAATTTTTTGTGGTGGGAACGGAAAAAAAACAATTACATCGTTCTTTGTCCATATTAAAATGTCTAGTTCTTATTTCATAAGTATAAGCCTAGCACTTGATTCGCCCGTTACTCCTTTGTTTCAGTTTTATTTCATTATTTGTTTGTGATCTAATTAAAAATTATTTTAAAACTTAAAATCAGTTTTTGCCGAAAAAATTTTTTTAAATATACTTTTCATTATTATCGTTATACATTGTTCATTCGAAAACAACAATTTTAAATCGTTATGTTTTGAAGACAAATCTAATCGGTCGTAAACGCGACCCATTTATTTGATGGTCTGGTAATATCAAGGAGTACTTAGATTTAACTTTAAGTTTTAATTTAAGTTTGCAAAAATTTATAGCGACAACCTGTCCTCTGAAGCTGGTCTTGTCTATGAAAATAAACAGAACCGAGTTTTACCATTTATTGCAGAAATACTGATCTTCATCCACCATAATTTGCCTTTATTGAAATTTGATTACTAAATTTACAGATTACTTTAACTAACATCATAGTTCTTTAGAGTTACAAGTAATTAACAGATTGTCAAAGATCATGTAGTTGCTATTTATTTATCCTATTACTATCCTTTTTATCAATAAATAAATTAATTTGGCTTACTGATTGCGAAGTTTTGTCAGTTTTAAATATCCGGCCGGATATTGTCCCATTATCCGATCGGATAGTACAATTTACGCCGGATAGGCTGGATACCGGATATCCGTTTCATCTCTAATGTTAACTAATGTACATTATCTATGTTTATAACACGCCTGTTCATAACAGTTGCAGTGCCACTCTGAGATTTCAGAGTGAGTCTAATTAGACGCTTATAGAAGCGCAGTGACGCCAAAGTGGCACTGAACTAGAAATGACTGCAACACTACACTACACTGCAGCACACGCGGCTGTACCGCCACAGTCGCGCCACTGCTTCTTCAAGCGTCTAATTTGAATGCATCCTTAATCACAAAGATCTGAGGGGCACTGCCACTGCGTCTGACACACAGAGAGTTATGTTGACAAGTATCTTGTACCTGTAATTTTACCATTACACTCGCCCTTCAAAACCGGAACGCAGTAGGTAAAGCTCACATTAAGGTGGTTTTTCACCTAAGAGGCGAGACGAGATGAGGAGAGACGTGAATTGAAATCTCGCCGGCCTATTTCCACCACGAGCTCGCTCAGTGATTGTGGATAGTGAAGATTCAGTGCTGTTCAGTTCATCTAGCGATAAATATGCGGCTGAGGTAACATGTCCCGTAAATTATTATTATTAAACGGAAGAAGAATTAGATGAAACCATCTTTTTTAAATCTCAAATCATACGTACCGCACTATTTTGTGATTGATATTAATAGCCATGGTGAGAAATCGTGTTTTCGTTGCAGTGTATAATACTCTACGTAGGCACCAATACGGTTCAATATTACATCAAGACACATTTCAATTCTCGCCTCGCCCATCATCGTCTATCCAGACCATTTCCACCGAAGATGGGCTAGAAGAGAATTAAAATTTTGTCATATAAATTTCAATACTCGTCTCGCCTCGTTTCGTTTCGCCTCGCCGGTGGAAAGCCACTTTTAGTGCTTGGCGGCAGAAATAGGTAAGGTAAGCTTTTCTGCTACAAAAGACTCTTTATCTATTGTTGACCAGAATTTCATACTTATGGAGTCAGACACTAATGCCGAATCAGCTTGAGCCGGTTAAAAAAGCTTATGTTTGGTGTGTTAGGAGTGAAAAAGGCGTAGTGCGTTTTACGTCGGAGCGGAAGTAAAATGTGCGACGTCATTTTCACTGTCACTACATGGATACAAAGCTTTTTAGGACCGGTAATACATTTTAGTGCATGTAAGTGTGGTTAAACTTAGTATCGTTAAGCCTTAAACTTAGGAGTTTATAATAGTGATAATAGGTTATCACAGATAAATTACTATTTTTTACTTTTATTATGTTCCACAACGTTTGATCTTAGGGAAACAACAAAATAAGGAAATACTTACAAAAAAGCTGAATCTCCGACTTATTACAAAAATATTTACCATTTGTCACATTCCGTCTCTCTTCTGGACAACGAACTCTAAAATATTACATAATAAATTTAACAACGATTATTCAAATTTGTATCTAATGTATTTTTGGATAGCACGAAACTAGAACTTAAATCAATTAAATTGTACTTGATTTACACTTGAACAAAAAAGAGCAGAAAAAACAATTTTAGCATGATCTATGCTCATTTTTTCTATTACCCACAAACAATTACGACCATTCCTTGAAGCTCATAAGCTATGATAATAATATCTTATTATATTCAGTTTAGGCCAATTATTATTTTTTAATATATTTTGGAAACAAGGATTTAAGAGTCTATACTACCTCAGTTTGAATTCAAATTTTTCCCGTACTTACACCGTTCGTTTCGGTTCGCTTTCACTGTTATGCGGAAGCAACCAAAGCTATTTGAGGTAGTATAGGCTCTTTAGATATAATTAAAATTTATCAAAAACCAACAATACCCGTTTGTTTTCTTCGTCATTTTGAGTAAGTTTTTTATGTAGAAAATGAAACTATTTTTCCGGATTTAAATCGCGTATATTTGTTTTTTCAAACAAACCGACGTTTCGGGCCCTTTACAGGTCCCATGGTCAACCGTGACCTATGTGGAACAATCGCGAAAACCTAAGAACTCGATAAGTTTTTTAAGGTGAAATTACCTAAGCAGATTTTCAGTATGTGAAGAACATACTGTTTTGACTATCACTGCCCATTGCTGAATATTTCGTTATACCGTCTCTTATAACGTATGCTATACTTACTTTGTTGCTCCAACAATAATTATCTTCACTTGGCACATTAAGAGTCCTACGGCAACAGCTCGTGTAGCTATAAGATCTGCACAAGTTGGCGGCCCCATAACAATGCTCCGTTTGTGTGCAACTTTCACAACTTCTTGTCAATGGCAATTTCTTGACTCTGCCTTTTTTCTCTGAAATAATTTAGTTCAACCCTATATTGAGGATCTATTTAGAAAAATCTTTATTACATTGATATTTTATATAAATAATCGAGTTTTTTTTTGTCACGATTGCTATACATTGGCCTGTAAAAACCCAGAAAGGCTGGTTTGCTTGAAGAAAGTAGTTTTTTTTATTCTTCATTTATTCAGGGGCTTTGATCGTTATTAATTTCCAATAAATAATGCAATTATAGGGGCTTCCTTTTCACCATTTAACATTTACTTATGCTCGGAAATTTCCTATGCCAAACGATTAGCAAGGCTTACAAAGGCTATACTTCTAGATTTACCATTCTGATCATCCACCGCAGCCAGCCCTAATAGTAAGATTTGTAGGGCTCTGTTTGTGTTTTCAGTTAATATAATTTGATCACACTTAATGTTATGTACATGTTAATTCCCCTTATCTTACCCATCTTTCATTAAAAATAAGTTGGGACAGAACTCACTCCTGTTTCGGGGCCATAGTAAAGGCGCCTTCAAATTTGACGCTTATAGAAGCGCTGCATTGGCACCACTGTAGCGCTGCAGCTTCGCCACCACTACTAATATCCATATAATATTTAAAAGCACAGTTGCAGAGCCACTGTTGTGACACGCGCACACCACTTTTGCAATCACAATTAGTAAACTAAAAAGTACTTAAGTGCTACAGACGCGGCACTGTCGTGCCACTTTAGCGCTTCTACAAGCATCTAATTTGAAGGCACCCTAACTTAGCTAAGCTAAAACCTTAATTAATATACTTGGAGCGCCCCGGTACTTGGCAAGGGTCAATTAGTTGTGTAAAGACCCATAACATTTCGAAAGTCGCCCAACGTTTCGAAAGGCTTTAAGATCGTCACCGTGCCGACTAATTCCGTCGGGCCGGGCGAATTCTATTTCTTGAAGTTCTGCAGCACTTTGAAGATTCCTGTACATACAGATCAGGTTTGCCCCTGGATTGACCAGACTTTAAAAATACAGATTAACTACAGAGTTCATACCTGTATCAGCACCAGTTTGGCTAGTACCGACGCGGGGACTCGTTTGTGTGCGGGAGCCGCTATTGGTATTAGTCATAGCAACACCTGCAGCACCATTTGTAGCTCCATTTGTAGCACCACTTGTAGTACCATTCATAGTCTTATTTTTAGTACCATGTGTAACATCACTTGGAGCACCATATGTAGCCCTACTTCTAACAGAATATGTACCTCCGCTTGTAGCACCATTTGTACCACTTTTTGTATTACCACTCATACCAATTGTTGAGTAATCCTTCGCCAAATGAGAACGAGTGTCATCACCGACTGCTTTAAATGAGTTCAAATTGTCTGAAACGGAATTTGATTAAAAATGAAGTAATTTATTAACATTTCAATTGTACAGATTTGACCACTGATAAAATTTACCATCGGGAACTTTTTGATATGGCAGATAAAGTCCATCCCAGGAGTGCGGTCCGCTGGTACCTGTACTCGTTGGCATCGGGCCAGTGCCTTCAGCATTAAAATTTATTAACGATGTACCAAGACCTTGGGTTTGTTGACGTACGTCGTGCCTTTTCAAGTACATCATAGAGATCATCAACACAAATACTGTTAAAGCACATGTTATGATAGACTGCGTGATAATACATATTAAGAATTCTATCATATCTTCTATGAAGCAAATTATGTCGTCAAAACACGACATTCTTGATATTAATTTTTAACTAGAATGTATAATATATGTACCTGGAAAACTTAATTTATCAGAAAACTACACAAAGAGAAATCGTTATCGTCCTCATGAAGAAAATTTATTATTGACTTACCAGGCAATTCTTTTTACATTTTTAAAATATTGTGAATATCTTTTGTAAGCGAAAACGGGGCGCATAGTATATTTTTGATGGTTTTTATTCATTCAAATGCTCATAGTAGTAACAAAACTGCAAGCCCTCAAGTTCCAGGTGACCAGCTGACAGTGACGGAGAAACAAAGTCATCCTCTTTAGAACCCCTATCTCATAATGTATTTGTTTATTTGGTTAGACTTTACACGGCTCGTACTGAAATACTGAGACTTAAACTGAAGACTCGAAATCGAAACATTTTATACTGAAGAAAAAGAGAAAGTAATGAATGGGCAGTATGGTCATTGATCTTCACTTGCTCCATGCGGAACGAAGGAAAAAAAAAGAGTATAAGTTTATTTACGTAGACTAGACCCTTAGAGTATGGAAAAAAAAGACGTAGACGGAGAACGTCTACGTTTGTTTATGTTGAGACCATAGATTTAGTTTATAACTTAGAGGATGGAAAGAAAATAAAAGGTTTATAATATTGTAAGTCAATGTTTATAATAGTATATTTCCCTTTGAGTTTTTTCCATCCTCTAAAATATTTCGTCTTTTTCCATGTTCTAAGCTATAAACCTTCAAATCTATGGTTGAGGATGGAAAAAAAATATTGACTTTAGTGAAACTGTATTTCTTTTTTTTTTATTCTCCCTCTACGAGTGAAACCTTATACTACAAATTTTTTCCATCTTTTATGGACTACAACATTTTTTTTCCATCCTCTAAGACTACAACGAAGTAAATTATAACCTTAGAGGATGGAAATTATAACGAGTATTTATTGTCAATAAAGATGTGACCGCAATGATCTTATATACAAAAAGATCATTGTGTGATCATTTTTCCGTCAAAACAAGAAACAGATACCAATATATGAAGAGGCTGTATGGTAAAACTTACCCTTGATCACATATTCTATGAATGTCTTAAGTCAAGTTAGTCAAAACAGGTCAAAACACTTTGTAGGTGACTAAAACGCTTACTGCGAAAAGGCAAGAGAAATAAAAAAAAAATTATTGTCTCCTTTAGGAGAGTATTTTCATAAAATGTAATCTATTTACATTATGTACAAAAATAATTTGAGACAACAAGCAGAGGCCCAGCTTATGCTATTATAGCTATATATAGATGACCATTTTATTCCTTATGGGAGGTATAGATACCCGCTGCATAATACCTGAAACAGCCCTATATCGTGCTGTTACATGATTAGCTAAAGTCAGTAAATTCAAAGTGACAGATCGGAGATTCCTATGTAAAATATGTTAAAACAACGTGAGTTTTACAAAAAGGTGTTACGGGTAATATACCATTCCACTTTTTGAATGCAACAGGCATATTGCAGTTCTCTCCTAGCGCACAGTGTTATATGCTCAGTTTTTGGTATGTTGAAATGAAATTGATGCAATCATTCTGGACTCGCAGAATAGATCACTCAGTGCTATTCAATCGGAGTCCGAAAACGGAACTACAGTAATTAAATTGGGATAGCACAAGAGATTTAGTTAACAGCACGCGTATGTCTTATTTTATGTACGGTCTTATTTTGTAAAGGGTTTTCAGTCTAAAAAAGGCGTTTCTAATCTTCCTGTTGACATGTTGTATTACTTTTGTTCGTCATCCAGGATGAGACCAAGTTTGCGAGCAGATGTTACTCGTTTTAAAGCAACTTCATCGACTTTAACCTGCTCCTTACAACCTGTGACCATTTGAACTTGACGCCTGGCACCCAACACTAACATCTGAGATTTTAATGGATTCAGGAACAATGAGTTTTTTTTCGACTGTGTATATTATTAGGTAGATCATTATTTATAGAGTTCTTAGGTTTTCGCGATTGTTTTTTTTTGACTGTCAGTCAACCGTGACCATGGGACCTGCAAAGGGCCCGAAACGTCGGTTTGTTTGAAAAAACAAATATACGCGACTTAAATCCGGAAAAATAGTTTCATTTCCTACATTATTTATAGCATTAATAGCAGTTTTAACGTCACGTCCTTTGAATGAATAGTACTTACAGTTGCGTGTCATCACCGTACAGGTGATATTTACATGATTGTATGTTCATAGGTAAGTCTGCTGTAAATATTGAAAGAAGGATATGACTTAACAATGAACCGATGAGAAATTCCACGCTCAATCGAGTTCAGTTCAGAGAATTTTTTTTCGCGTTCTGTTGTTTTCTTCCTTGTATGACCTCCTTCTTCCCTATGTTCCTTGTTCTATTAATTAACATTAAATTCCTTATTCTATAAGTCTATTCTCCTTTTACTAATATTTATTGTGATTTTATATGCTCTAATAATATAATGCTTTAGTTTGTCATGATTCTTTAACTCAGAAATGATTTTTACAAAGCGGCTCGCCGAAGAAGCTCTCCCAAAAATAAATACCTTGCTGTTGCTTAATAGTTGGTGTTTTTGATCAGATTTAACCAGCACCTTACATCGAAACTGATACTGGCCCAAGCTTAGCGGTCGCCATTAAGGAAAATAAATACAGTTCTTTTTTAATTTTTAGTTTGTCCTCACCTGTTAGCTCTACTTTTTTGTTGAGGCGAGCCTTATTAACACTAAACATCGCAATAAATACAGCACATATGTATATACGTGAAATAAACGTCCACGAAAGAAAACTAGGAGGTAAGGGAAACTGCCTGATCTTTCGCTTTCGCGATTTTTACGAGTGATGCCTATGTTCTGGAGAGATCGCCTAAGGTAATATTTCGAACTGTTTGGGTCACTCATTAGAACATAACATTGATTCTAAACTGGTGACTCGATCGATTTACGATTCGACTGATCCGTTCATCTGGACAGGGTGAGATGGACTAAATAAGTGACTTTCTGGTAAAAAAAAGAGTTTAATGCAGAGAAAGAAACATGCTCTTATAGAGCGGTCTTTAGAAATTTATGAAGACTGAAATGATTTAGGTAGGAACATTATTGAATGATGTGCAGTTAGAAAATCAACGTTCATCACAGGTATTACAAAGCTTTCGCGAAGACGAGAGACAGAATCACCGAAAACGCAACCGCAGTTACTGCTGTTTTCACAGTATCGGTACTGTCGTAGCAAAAACGAAAATTCTGGACGTAATGACAGAAGTGATAGTCAACACATATAGGCAGTATTAAACGCGTAGTAAACCCGTTGTTTTTATGATATCAGCGGCTGTGGTACCTAAATTGAGCACAGAAGCCCTGAGGCTTCTGTGCTGACAATAATGCTGACATTACGACCGCGATCTTCTCATTTCCGTCGTGGTCGAATCTACGCCACCAACAGCGACGACTATCAAACATTGTAGGTCAGTGCTATCAAAGTAAATATTTAAGCGCTGTAGCGAATCGCTACAAATCTTTTGTATATATTTTATAATAGTCTTTTTTAAGCTTAGTTTTATAATTAAATCCTAAAATTAAATGTGTTTGTTTTTGGCACCTTTTTCTTGACTTTTGCTAGTGTTATTTGCTGTTATGCTGTGATAGCTACGGGGTGTTTTTGTAATAACTTATTAAAAGCTGTAAGTACATTCTTTCAGCCTTGCTAACTTGTTAAAGCTGTAAGTACATTCTTTCGGCCTTGCTCACTTGTTGTTAGCTTCCACCCTTTGCCCTTTCACACATTGATACAGTCCGCTACATATTTAGTGGAAGTAACCCCTCCGTCTGGCTGACCACTTTTGGTCCAAGTGGGTCAAGGAGGTACTACCTGTCCTTCAAAGCCGACCTCCTGGAACTCCCCAAACTCCTCTAAATGTAGGAGACTTGGTAATCATCGCCGATGACACGTTACCTAGAGGTGTATGGCCCAAAGGTAAAGTACACCAACTCTACCCTGGTAGAGACGGCGAGGACAGGGTCGCAAACGTGGCGACTCGTGGCGGCACGCTACGTCGTCCCCTAAGGACACTAATTAGGATGCCTATAGACTCCGTAGCATTTGAGGCCCTAATAACAGCATAGGTGGTCCCATCCTTTTCTCCGCCCGGACAATGTAGCGAATCGCTACAAATCTTTTTGTATATATTTTTTCATAAGTCATTTTTAAGCTTAGTTTTATAATAAATTTATAATTTTAATAATTTTTTTTTTTTTTTAATAAATTTTTACTTAAATTCTAAATTTAAATGTGTTTGTTTTTGGCATTGACTTACAAATAGATGGACGACGGGTCTAATACAAAAACCACGAAAAAAATGTCCCAAGTCAACCTATTTAAACGTAGTGACATGTAAAGGAATATGAAAAAGCTAAAACGTTGAATTTAAATTGTAATGTCATCGCAGTACTGTCTAATTGTCAGTCGAACAAACGAAGACTAAAGCGTGAATGACGCTCTGTATACGATTTTAACGCCCTATAAGTTCGGACACTTTTTAGCGCGCGTCCATACAATTGTAAGTCAATGGTTTTTGGCGACTTTTTCTGGTCTTTTGCTAGTGTTGTTGGCTGTTTTGCTTTGATAGGAACATACGTGTTTATAATAAAATTGTAACTGTAAGTACATCCTCTTGGCCTTGCTCACTCTTTGTTAGCTTCCACCATTTACCCTTTCACCCATTGATAGAGTCCGCTACAAGCACTACTAACTGTATTGAATCAACTTACATCATTGCTCCTGCCAATTGCTTCCTGATTAAGTGTTTTAGTTCGCATGGGTGTTTCTGTCTTGCCCGTACTGTAGGTATTTCTGCTAACGGCTCTAGCAAATTTATAGGTGAACATTCATAGTAACTGATGCTAGAAATAGTATAATGGATAAACAGAATTCTGTGGATCGGAACTGAGACCTTGGATAGGGTTTATACCTCGTGGCTTACACAATGTGTGATCGGGACTGCGGCGTGCTAAGCAAGGTGGCTTTACACTTAAACTTATACGGCTATGACGTGGACCGGAACTGAGGCTTCAGGGAGAGTTTACACAGTGTGTGATCGAGACAGCGTACTGAACAAGTGTTTGCTGGATGTCAACTTTCTGCGACTGATTTGCCACGTGTCCCGCTTGGTCTTTCATACCATATGTTGGCTTAG